AAATAAACATTTGAAATATATGAGTTTGTATGTAATGTATGAATACAATATACAAGTTTCACTTTTTAAATGGAATTACTGAAATAAATCTACTTTTTCATGATATTCTAATTTTATGACCAGCACCTGTATATAAGGCAGAAATGTGATCATGTTAGAATGTGAACAGAGATTTGAACCAAGGATGTTAAAGCAGAGGGTCATGAGAGGTTTTGATGCTCATTTGTACATCTGTACTTCAACATGAATCCATGCTGCTGTTGTTAAAAATTCAGATTGCACTTTGATGTTGCTGTAATTAAAAATCAGCACTGTCCCTGAAGACAATATTTGATTCTTTAAAAACCCTTAACTTTGAATGGATTTTTAAAGCTTGAAGAAATAAAGCTTCATTCTGAGTGGATTATTAAACTAACAGATTTACTCAGTCCAATCGCCAGGTTGATTGTTGTCATCATAAAGCTAGAAGTAGCTTTTAAAACTTTACATGGTTCACATTACAGATTTATTTACATTAGATTTAAAATGCAAATGGTAGCAGCAGCAGCTAACTGTAACACTTCCAGTAGATTGTGTTTTTGCTGGAATGATGATGTAATCAGAACGTAACAGTGGCTTGTAAAGGTTTATAACAGTGTTCATATATCATTGCTTTGAAAGTTTTAAGATGTGAGTTGTTTTAATATGACAGCAACCCACTTTGCTCTTAGTAACACTTAGGCTAACAGTTAAATTATCAATCCAGTCAAAAAATACCCTTTATTTTTACTAAAGGAGATTGCTCAAAGAGCTACAACATGTAAGATATTCACTTTTTGCAGCCTTTCAACAAAACACCACTTCAAAAAGTCTAAACTGTTGCTTTAAAATGTGCTTTGAAACATTATTTGAACAATTTCTCTGCAGTTTTTAAATCAGATATTGTGATATATTGTTTCTGACTTATTTGTGCAGCTTATAATTCAAAACAATTTTTTTCATTTTTAAGTTAATTTCTTACTGGGTTTTTTCACTGCTTTCAAAGTAAGCAAATCATATTTTATGTACAGCACCCATATCTTTTCATATATAGACAAATATGCTGCCTAAAAGTACTAAGGTGTCCACGTTCTACATGCAATTCAAGCATGGCCTTTTTAATTTTCAAGCTGTTCTTTGTGCCAGTCAAAGCAGCAGATCAAAATAATTTCATTTATGACATTGAATATGGAGTTAATTGTGTTTATTATTATTATTATTATTATTATTATTATTATTATTATTATTATTATCAACTCAAAAACATTGTATCAACACGTTTTATATTTGATAACATATTGACTTCACATGTTGGTTTGAGATTTATCTTATTTATGCCACTCAGATTCTTAAAACAAAYGCATTTTCACACTTTATAATGAAGTTAAAACTGGTTCTGCATGAACCAGTGATTTTCAGTATTTGTGCCTAAATGTGTAAATGTGTATCATCAAATGTAGAAAAGCAAATCAATCATATTACGTGGCTACAACTTTTAACATGCCAACCCTAACTGCATTTGATTGTCTCATTTGACAGTAAAATCAGCTCAAATAGAAGTTACAGTGTTGAAGCTATGGTCATTTTAAACTGCAGTCAGCAAATAATGACTCCAGCACATCAGTTGTTGACATAAGAGCATCATGAGTTTTGTAAGATTGTTTAGCTCCTTTTGCTTATGTACAATAAAATCAAACGAGGAAGTAATGTAGAACAGTCCTCCGTTTGTATTTACTTACTCGTGTGTGTGTGTGTGCACGGTGCAGTCAGTAAATAAATAAATAAATAAATAAATAAATAAATAAATAAATAAATAAATAAATACCTGAATCCGGGTTTTTGGACCTCTACCAACGCAGCCCCAAAACACATCAAACACCTGATAAATACAGACTGGTACGAGCGACCTGAAAGTGAGCAAAAAAAAAAAAAAAAAAAAAAAACGAAAGCAAAGTAAGATTTATTTATTTGCTTGTTTATTTATTTATGTATTTTTTCCCCCATTAGTTATTTTTACCTAGTTCATATTTCTGTGCGCGTGCTTAAAAATGCGTGAGCTTGTGTTTGTGTGTTAGCCCCGCCCACCCGTCTTCTTCGTGACGTTGGAGCAGAATGTCGCCGCTGGAGCTGGAGGACTTCAGTTGAARAAATGGCAGCGCTGAAACAGGAGCACCGGTACGGACTCTCCTGCGGCACAATAAACAAAAACAACCCAAATCAGAGTCTTTATCACGTCAAACTCACTGACACCGCCATCCGGACCCTCGAAGCCTACCAGAACCTCAAGGTAAGTAGAAATAATCAACTTTGGACCCCTTTTTGCTTTGCCCCCTCTCCAATGTTGTACATTTTTCCTCTTTTTTTTTCGTGTCTGTCCAAACTTCTGTGGCTAATTTGGAAACACTCGTGTTGCTTTTGTTTCTTTGTTTTTTTACATTTATTTTAAAAAAGTTTAAACGTGTTGGCTGAATGTTATCGATATAAAAGCGCTGGTTGGCTGTAAAAATGTGGACCGCTTCGCTTGATTTCCCCACTGAGTTTGGTTTCTCAAAAATATTCATAAAAATTGGACAAACGAGCAAAAATGTTGAGAAGTTTCCCCATATTAAGTAAATAAAAGTTGCTTTGACAAAACAACAAGTACCGACATGCCTTTTTGTTTACCAACCTGCTGAAACCAAGATTAGAAACATTTGTTTTTTTTTATTAGCGCTTTTAAAAAGCCTGCTGTTTGAGTGAATGATAATTGTTTGACAGAATAGTATTTTTATGCATTTTAATTAAAAAAAATACATTTTTAGTTCAAAAACAAATTTGCCAATGTATTGTAAATGACACATTTTCAATATGAGCCGCTCATGGGAATACATTAATCAACAAGCTATCAGGCAAATGACTCGTCTCCTAAAGATGGGGGGTGTTAACTGTCTAGTCAGATAGTTTAGTCTATCTAAGTCACAGTGGTGTTTCCCAGAACAGTGTTTGACAAAAAACACTAATGATACAGCCATGACTGCAAGAGAAACCTCATTTTGTCGCATTTGCTCCTGACGGGATCAAACTGGACCTGGATCGGACTTGGTTCGGAGAGTTGATGCTCGGTTCTTGTGTATTGTTGTTTTCTGCCCTTTACACGCTTGGAAGCCCGCCCATCTCCAGAGCTCATTGGTCCGTGAAGAGAGGAGTTAAAACTCCACAGTCTGACAGCTTCCTGCAGCAGAGCAGAGCAGGGGTTTAAAAAAAAATAACYTTTTCCACCAGAAAACACCGGTTCAGACCACTGGACGCCCACCTTGGAAGAGTTCTGCCCTCCTGTTTATTAGGATTTATATCAGATGTTCACGTCAGTGTTATAAGCTTTGAGAATTTCATTTTAAATCCCCGTATATATTGCATCAATTATTGCTGCAAAGAGTATTTTGTAGTGATTTTCTCCAACAATTTTAAAATCTCAAGTTATACTGCCACATTTGTAATAAATTAATTAAATCAGCAAATGCCAACAATTACGAGTTGTTTACATTCAAACATAGTAGCTGCACTTCGAACAGTCTCGACACACAACAAATGTTAAATTGGTAATTCCCYGATGTAAGCAAAGCCAAAGCAAAAAAAAAGATAAAGTTCTTGTGCGACTAAAGGTCTGGTCGTGCTTGCGTCATCGGTTCTTGCTGATGTGATTGTGGGAATGTCTTTTATTGTTTTTGGCATTGACGATTCATATTCCAAAATAAACTACGGAGAAGTCCTCCCGTGCAAAAACAGCGACAACACAGACAGCACGGTTGACAAAGTGGGTGCTTATTTTCAGTTGACGGTGGAAAAACTGCAGAAAGAAAATCTAGCATTTCTATTGTTTGCCAAGAAGTGCAAATTTCCCCACTGTGGGATCAATGAAGTTTTATCTTATCTTAAGTAATATTTTGTAAATTTTAAAAACACTRTTTTTTCCGACTAACTGGGAACGTATCTCTGCTCTGCTTGGCTGAGGTGCACTCCCTCCCGGAGATCCGCTCATGTCTCAGATCTGTCTCCTCCRTGAACTAAAATTGTCATATCTCTTTCTACTAGTTTTATTTGATTATCTTTATACGTTTCACTGAATTGGTTGTAAAGATGGCTCTGTTTTCTAACAGCCTCAGCTATCTGCTGCTCAGTGGAGCAGATACGAGAGCAGCGTACTGCAGCTAATTTTTCATCATGTCCACAACGTTCAAATGACACCGTACTTGGCGCACACTCTGTAATAAATGCTCTGTCTGGGGGCAATGCACAAGACATGGTCTCAATGGGGAGTACRAGATGAAAAATATGCTATTTTTGCCACGCAACCACATTAGCAAGACACGTTGTCTTACTTCTCATAGATTGTAAACCTGGCTTAAAAGCTGCAAGCCCCCCAAACCATTAGTAATAAATAAAGTGCTCCATCTGTAAGAATTGATTTTTAGGTGCTTTGTATTTCTGCTCAGAACTTGTTTCAGTTTTTAACATGAATTTATTCATTAGGAGAGGAAATCACAGATTTCTTTCAAGTATCTTCAGATTAGAGCCAGAAACCTCTGGCTTGTATTGTTGAATGGTGGTTAATGCAACAAACACTGAGTCTTGACTAGGGGAGTAAGAAAATATCGATACACTGAAATATTGCGATATTTCATTTCCCGATACTGTATCGATATTCTAAAGCCCTGTATTGATTTTTTTTTACTAAGGTTTAAAATGTCAACTTTCCTGCCAGCCGTTGATTTTTATGTTGTAGTTCAGCCTCTGACCACTAGTTGGCAGCAGTGAGCCAGCCATTTGGCTCCTCTACCTCTCGAACGCCAGAGAGTAAGGGTAGCATTAGCATTGTGAGTAAATATTAGCTTCATGCTCCGATAGGTGAATCTGAGCGGAAAAGACCGACACCCTCTGCCTTCTAAGCACCTGGGACCCCAGTTTGAGAACCTCGGCTTTAAGTTTATCCTGCTGTGTTCGCTTCAAAAACGGTTTAACTGTGTTGTTTAGCTTCTCCATTTATTTACTGTTTATTTTTGGAACTTGCCCTGCTCTTTGACCCACAGTTATGCAAATCACGATCTGGATGCAGGTCAGCTGATCCCAGAAACTCTGTGTGCAGCAGCTTCATATCATCTGTTTACTGAACTTTATGACAACATAAAGGCTATTGTTAAGTGTTGGGTGACCATATTATAAATTAATATTAAAAACTAAAAGCTGCAAAAATATATTTTCAAACTAATTATTGGCAAATTCAGTCTAATAATTGAAAACATGGATGAAATAAAACATATGAAACAAATAAAATAAAATACACACAAAGCAGAACACAGCTAAATGTATCAAAAGCATGTCTTTGTAATATTAGAATTTTCTGAGACAATGAATTTTGGTTTTTCTTTTCTTTTTTTCCAGTAAGAGGTTTTTATTTAATAGAATTTTTGGACAAAAAAATTGCAATATATCGCAAAACATCGCCTTGCTTACAGTATCGCAA